CACACACACACACACATATGTATATATTTATCATGCATGTGGGCGCGCGTGCGCACATATACATACATTTGTATGCAAATGTTATATGTATATTATGTATATGTATATATAAATATTAATATGTATATACATACGTACATGTATACGTGCATATATATTTAAATTTACACGTGATTATGCAACTTTATTAAATTAAATTATTTTAATTGTTAAATTATTATTTTTAAAATAAATTATGTCTGTTGATGGTTTTTGAAATATTATGATATAAATATCATAAATTAAACATTCTGTAAAATTATAAATGGCTATAAATTCAAAATGACACGCAATGATTCGTCCATTTCTTATGGCTTAAGGCTTAAAACACCTATTGTAGATCGAGACTTAAGCAGTGTCATCATGGACCCTGACTTGTTATTAATAATATGGAAGCGATAGCGAAAGTGGAAGAAGCTGAAATAATCTCAACAACAGAAAATTAGACAATATAATATTTTAAAATTGTTTGGAATATGGAAATTGATGGTATACTAACAGGAAAAAGCTCGTTATAAAAAGTGGGTGTGTCCGATATTCGCAGAAAAAACAAAGATTTTTACAAGACAGTGACACTCTGGTCAAAAAAATGGAATTTGAAGATTACGAAATGTTTTACAATTATTGTAGAAATGTCCATAGAAATGTTCAATCAGTTATTAGATATTGTTGGACTATGCATTGAAAAACATAAATTAATTAATATATATACAAATATGTCAAATTGCAAATGCGCGATGAGATAGGACCGCCCAGTGAGACGCGTTCGCCGCTAGACGCATGGAGTTAATTGCAAATGGCATTGACTACTCTTTCATCTACGTATGTTACGTGTGCCTAGTGTGTTCCACGCGTGCCTAGCAACGACCAATCAAATCATCAAATCGTTAACCAATCAAATCGTCTAATAAGAATCTAGATGGATTTGTGTAGAGTAGCTGAGACAATTTGGATGATGGAGTTTATGCTTACACAAGTTGCATGGAATCAGCCTAACTAGGCGAAATCTGATGTTCAAGTGAAACGATGTGATTGGTCGGTGCAAGTTACGCTTACGCCGCATGTGATGGCACCCTAAGATTTATGTCCGCCATTTTGTATTCAACCAGAACCTTGGCCAATCTCTTATTTCTAGTGTCCATATCGTTCGTTTTTATCACTCTTGCGTCTAGCACGGAAGAGAAAATCATACACAAAATCGTGCACATTACTTACGTGAATAAGATTACAGCTAAAACGCGGCCATGACCACTCTTAAGGTCATATCAGATTAGTAGTTGCTCGACTATGGTTGCTGGTTGATGATTCTACTATTACCATATTAACTATAACCAGGATCTGTTACATTGTGATTGGCTAAAATACAATCGTCAACCGGCAACTGTAGCCGGCAACCGCTAGTCTGATATGGTCTCAAGTTCATAATCTATCCCTCCGTCCTAACCAATCACAATGTAGCAGGTCCTGGTTATGGTTAATGTGATTGGTAATAGCAGAATCGTCAATCGGCAAGCTAGTCTGATATGGCCTTCAGGCTTCTCTCTGGTTACCGCTGCATAAGAAGGTAGCCTGAGGCACATTGGCCGCTGCATTTATCTAAGGCTGGTGTCCCATAACGCGGAAATCCACAGCGGAACGGAATGCGCGAACCAATGACAGCAAAAGAACGAACAGAATGAACGAGTTTTCTTTTGGTTCTTTCGCTGTGATTGGTTTGCGCATTCCGTTCAGCAGTGGATTTCCACGCCATGAGACACCAGCCTAATAACAATCCATTATATATACCCATGTGCATTATAAAAGCAGCCATATTGCTTTTTGCACTTTGGACAAATTTCTGATTGGCTAATTCCATGAAGCGTTTCACCTTCTTCTTATTTATGATTAAAACAGAGAATACAACTTGCTACATACATTCAAGGATAATATTTAGCGACTATAGTTTATATTCGATCGATTTGTAGCATGTTGCAAAAATAGAGTAAAAAAATTTAGATATTTTTTTCGATCTTGACTTATCGCAAGTGAACGTTATAAAAATCTTATTAATCTGTTCTTTTCCTGACTTTTTTTTCGACTTTTTTCGAGAGTTACTATTAATGGATGACTGAACATTCGGTTTTCAAAGTATCCAAGGGGTCACTATCTGTCGTATGATTGCACGTAGTACGACGATGCCGATTCGACTGAGGAATTTTCCAAAGAGGTGTGTTGTGTGTGTATTCAGATCTATCTACGAGTTTCGAAATCCGTGTGAAAAGCTCGAACTGTATCGAGTACACATGAAACATGCGCAGACACTCGCCATCTGAATTTATATGTTGTGTGAGAGGCATAGTTATACGTGTTAACAATGCTGTTTTGTTATGACGCTACAACGTATCTCCTGTTCTCGCGTGTTCGAGGAACATCTGTAAGGCTGCGATCATAATTAACAGCGGTATACAATGTCAACGCAATTAAGTATGCAAGATAAAAAGGATTTAGAGAAGTTTACCAAGTATCTCGCGCTGAGAGCTGCCCAAATCATAGTACAGTCGAGATCGGGTCAAAAAGTCAACACCACGTGCAAGCCGGACTCGTCAGCCGGTGATTGGGTAAAAGTAAAGTTTGCTGTAGTCCATACAATTTATCTGGTTTCAATTTATCTGGCTCTGCTAATCCTTGCTCTATTTTTTATTTAATCTTATTTTCAGTAATTATATTATTGATTACTATATTATTGGTTATTATTGGTATTTAAAAATTTTTATAGTGATATTTTTAAAGAAACATACAAAAAAAATAAATTGATTTTATATTGAAGCAATTATTTAATTTTAAATTTATCAGTATCACATGCATATGAACTTTTAAAACAAAATATTAATATTGAGAGTTACCATTTTTATACTCTTTTACTTATAACTAATCAATACTTATAACTTTTAACAATTTTCTTCAAATTAAGATGAAGATTGGATTTAGAATCTCTTAATAAGTTGACCGTTCTGAAATTATGTATCGTCTCAAGATATATCAGTATAATAATAGTAAAGTTATTGAAGTTTAGAAACAATACTTTTTTTTTATATTTATATTGTTTAGAATTAAATAGATTTGAATTACAAAGAAATTAAAATAAAGAAAATAATAATTCTTGTATTGAATATTTATATTTTATACTTTATCAATAGGTGATGGGTACATCCGGAAGAATAATTATTCATTGAACTTGGTGAGCTCTTGTATTTAATTGGATTCTTTTTATGTCTAAAAGTTGTATTAATCAGATGCAAAAGCTTACCAAGTGCTCAGTGAATATGATTACGCTTCTAAATGCACCTGATAAAAATTTTTGGTTATAAATTAAAAGAAATAGAAGAAAAATTACAACTACAAGAGGTAGAAATAACTAATAATTTATGAAAAGAGTTTTCAAGTTACTGTAAACATTAAACATTTATAACAACCATTTATGTATATCTATAATATAATTTTTATTAATTTATCAAAATTTTGAGACATGACATATGTAACTTTGAATACAAATTTATTAAATGCATATGACACAAAAAAAAAGCACACAAATAGTAGGATTTGATATTTCGATTAAACATTTTTGAAAAATTCTAACAAATTTAAAAATCTGGTGTAATAAATATGATAAAATTGCTTTTAAAGATAATTTGTTTATTTAAACAAAATATTTATTTAAAAGTAGCTTATTGAAAGTAAGTATTCTGTGTAATTTCCTAATCTAAACATCCCATTAAAATATGTTAAAATATTACAAGAGTAAGTTTAAAAATCTAAAGTCTATCCATTAGAGTACTGTCTCACGATTGATTATATAGTGATTGATTATATAATGAACTGAAGCTAAAATAAAATGAAAGAGAAGTTTCAAATGAATATTACCCTTTTTTAGACATTGGATCATTAATGCATAAAAAAAAATTTAAGGATAAATTTTTTTATGAACCTTTCAATTGATAATACATTAGGTCTATTTTTAGTTGAACTGGCTACACTAGTTCAGAGTTTATCTTTCTTCTTTCATTACAAAGAAAGAAAAATAAACTGAACTAATGCAATTCAGCCAAAAAGAACAAACTTATTAATATAAGTCAAGTACATGTCAATAAACAACAACTGAGAGAAATATAGCAAATTCTTCAGCAAGCAGGATATTAGATGCTAAATTTCTATATGAAATAAATTCAAATAATTATATCGCCAACTATGTATCACCATTTTTAATAGACTTATGCAGTGGTTCTATAACAATTCGATAATCAAATAATTTGATATCAATTTAAATCAAATCTTTCAATTGATTTTGTGTTAATTTAGTGAAGAGACAAAAAAAAATAATTTAATTTATATTTTAAGTTTAATAAATAAACCAAAATGTTAAATAAATAACTCCTATATTTATATGAGATAATGTTAAAAAATATATGATTTATTTAATTTATTTATTATTTTGTTAAACTTAAAATGTGAATTAAAATATTTTTATTTCGTTTTTTAATCTATTTGACCAAATTGACAGTTAACCTTTGCATGTATATAAATAATAAAACATAATAAAACTTTATTCACAAAAAGTCATTTGAAGGTGTGCTTTTTCTTTTTTTCATAAAAAAAATCCTTAAAATTTTTTTATGCATTAGTAATTATATAGATATCTAAAAATATATATGTGATATTTACTTGAAATTTCTTTTTTATTAGACTTTTGTTACATTTTTTTATATCTAACTGTTAGCGAGTTACCAATAAATATAAGTTATGTTGGTTAAATTCAATCTTGTAGCACTCTAATAAGTATGTTTAAAAATTAAAAATAGCACTCTAACAAAAATGTTTAAAAGTTAGGAAATTACACTTAGTATTTACCCTGAATAAACTATTTTTAAATGACTATCATTAAATTATTTTTTGGTAGCAATTTTATCATACTTATTTCACTAGATTCATTATCTTTTAATAGTAATAAATGGAAATTTAATAATTTTGATTAAGAATTTTTGAAAAAATTGAAACAAATTTATTTTTCTTGTTTTTTGTTATT